TAACCCTTAATCAGGATATCGAGAGCCATGCTGGTTGCACTGCCTTTATGGGGCATGCTCGGCCTGCTATCGGGGCAACCCGGCAAATGCCGGGAAGATAAAGTGTGGCTGAGTTAGGGAACCGGCAGTCGCCGATTGTTGCTGGCCGGACAAATTCCTTTGAAGTCTTGAATGAGGTGTAGCCCAATCCCAAAACTTTTAGCCCGAGACCCTTTAAAAATAAAGCAACCGACACAAAGAACCCGAGACCTTAAACGGAGACCTTTAGCCCGAGGCCTTAAAACCCAAACCCTGAGATCTTAATATGTCCGTGGCCAAAAGCAATCGGTTGCACTGCCCTCGATGTTTGCACCAGCTGGTACCAGTGCAGGATTAGTTCCAAGCCCGTCGGTGCAGGAAGCCCCGAAGTTCTCACGCGAAACCGATACTCCTTTCTCATTACTATGTCATCCCACAATCCAATCACTCTATAGGGAAAAATCAAGGCACCTGGTGAATGCTCCTGCATCCTGACAATAGCTTCAGAACCTGCCGACGTGTGCCTGCTTCCACAATGGTCCGATGAAAACGCCTCTTATGTTCGGTGAGCCAAAGCTTAGACGAGTCCCAAACCCGAAAACTTAACCCCAAACCCTGATCTCCAAACCTTTGAAACCTCGGCCCTAAACAACCTAAAACCCTAAATCCCAAACCCTATGTATAAGTCTCCAAACCTTTTAAACCTCGGCCCTAAACAACCTAAAACCCTAAATCCCAAACCCTATGTATAAGTCTTCAACTTAAATAACTTACAACCCAGACCTTGAACACTAAGCCTTAGCCGAAAAAAAGACCATGTATAGCTAAAACCCGAATTGTAAGCCTCAAGCTATAAATAACTTAAAAGCCAAAACCCCAAGCCCGAATTCTGGAGAAGACCCAAACCTCGAAGCTGTGCGACCACCATGCAGTGCAGCAGTCGATGGCAGTTGCAGCCTCGTTTGCATGTCGTGTGAATACCAAAGCCCTGGGTCCGAAGCGAGAAACATGAGGGCACAATTTGAGGCCGTCCAAACTTCAAACCCCTCTACTCTACTTGGAGGCTCATGGTAATTACAACCCAAATATAACTAGCT